CCTTAAAATTCTCTTTTGTAGATAGTCTTCATTGACTTACATATTCATTGACTTGTATGTGTTTCTACTGTCCAGTAGTGGCGAACCCACTTATAAAGCCTATTTCTTCTCTTTTAAGAATGTAAAAGTATTATTTAATCAAATCATTTGTACAACAAGTGTGACTTAATTTTGAATAAAATGCTCATGTTGTCTTTAAGAAGCTTGTGTGGTAAAGCATGTGACCATACCATCATTGTAGGAGTTATGTCTCATGAGGAACACAGTCTATTCCTCACGTTCTTATCGATGCTTTTGATTAGGCAAGTGGCTTCAGTAGTTTAATTGGTATATAATGCTTTCCATTGACCTCAATTTATCCATGATCAAAAGTCTTTCTCATGATGATGCTGAAAATGCGCTTCTTACAAAAAATAACTAGTTTCCTATTCCATTCCTTTATCTTTTGATTAATCAAAAAGTTTACTAGTTTTATTTTCAATAACTTTTTCAAAACGATGTTATAAATAATTAAATTAATCCTAGTTTGGATTCTGATCCCGGTAAAAAAATATGTATGTCTCGTATAGTCTACATTGTCTAGTGTGTAACCAACCTCCAAAACCATCATAATCATCGATGGACCATAGTTGGCTAGTTGCACTGATCCGACCGACACTCTACTCTATAGCCAAATTGCCTCTTACGAATTTTACAAGAAAACAAAAAAAATTGCCTCTTACGTAACCAACACGTCATGTCGCCTACATTGACTTAAACAATACAATCTGAAACTCAAGTCTTCTCTCATGGAATCAGTTTTTAATTAAATATTTCAATTTGGGAACACAATAATATGTTCAAAGAGGCGCTGCTCTGTAAACTGAAAAATCTATTTCTCCAATCAAATAAGAAAATAGCATTCGTATACACAAACAATGATGATCATTAATTATACACAATCTGTTACAGTTTTGGTGGAGCTGTGACCATGAGTTCTAAACTGCCTTATTGTGTGACAAGCCTGATCATGGAAGCCAACAGATAGAGATAGAGACAACACACTAGCTAGGCTAACCAATGAACAAGTCTCACAAACTACACACTTTATTCTCGAAAATTAAAACACCTCCTCCTCTAAGTTAATATAAAAATTGAAAACACTTGCTTAGGGCATCTATTTCATATAAAACTTAGGGGCATATTTACAAATATTTTTATTTTATATGGTGTAAAGTTTGTGTTTTTTCCTTTACAAATGCCTACAAAAAAAAGCCTAGGTTAAAATTATCTCTTCTAAAACGTTTAAGCGTGTGAGGAAACAATTTTCCTTATAATTATGTATAAATATTTAAATGATAAATTCGCTTATGATATTAAAAACACTAAGAACGGGTTCTAACATGCATGGTGTATATTCTTCTTGAGATATAGATGATGAAGTCTTCGTTGTTAGGTTAAAGAAGGAATTGGACATCATGGATCCGTAAGTGCTAATAGTTTTGGTGCTATTAGCGATGGAAAGTCCGATAATTCGCAAGTGAATATGTAATATCACTATTTATATCAAACTAATGGGTATAATCTTTGCTTTA